AAGTAAACATGCAGACAGTTTGAATGTAAGTAAACATGCAGACAGTTTGAATGTAAGTAAACATGCAGACATTTTTGCACATAACCTGTTACCTTTTTGTTGTTTTGCACATTGCCTGTTGTTTTTTGCACATTGCCTGTTGTTGGTTTTTTGCACATCGTCTGTTGTTGTTTTTTGCACACTGGCTGTTGTCTCTGTCTTTATTTTGCTACACAATTGTATTGTTGTTGTTGTTGTTGTTTTTTCTCTTTGTACTACTTATGTCCGAGAGCTACCTAAATAGCATTTCGTTATACCATAAACCATGTATATAAGTGTAATGACAATAAACTTGAAACTTGAAACTTGAAAACTTGAGAATGTAGTGGTTTGGAGATTCTTAATAGATAAGATACTGGCAAATTGGATGCATACTGTTCTTTTTTTACAAGATCAGCTTTTTTCTTTGGCAGAGAGTTTCTGATTTCCCGTTTGATCTTGGAAGTCAGTGTGAGACAGCTACTTGCAGGGATGAGTCAGTCCTTTGAAAGACAGCTGCCTGCTTTGCTTTCCAGTAGTGTGTGATTGCAATTATAAATATTTACTAGTCCATTCGGTAATTTGTAACAGCAGCTGACGACAAACCTGGTTCTAGACATAATGACGGAGAGCAGGCATGACGATTGTGTTAATGTGTGCAGGAGTGTCTATTTAAAGAAGCACAATAGGGCTTCTGAAATGTACAACAAGACCGCTATTGTCTCTAACATATTTTTGTTTACAGGAGTGGGTGATCAAGAGCGCCCACAGGGTTCTGGGGTGCATAAGGATCTTAAGGTTACAGATGCACAGTCTAAAAGGACCACTATCAGACCCTCTTCTTTAAGTGTAGACTTGGGAAGTGCTGCTTTTTAAGAACTAAAAGCTTGGGTCTTGCCAAGTGTCAGCTCTGACTAGGAGTCCATGAGGGGCACTACACAACTTGCATCTGAGCTTTCTCCTGTGTTTTGCCATGTATCTACCTATGTATCTGCAGTGACATCAGTGACACACAAATGCTCCAATTAGCACTAACTCTCCCGTCAGGCACACTGGAACTTACACTGTGCCAAATCACACATTACTCAAATTCTTCTCTGAAATTCTTCTCTTTGTTTGCTGGAGAGCACAACAGTTAACAGTTTCGCATGGGGTGGATGGAAATTAGAAGATAGATTTTCCCCCCAAAAAAATCCAAATTCAAGCATCGAATGTAACACCTTTTCTGACATCCGAAATTTTATTTTGGATGGTGTAGAAATATACAAAAATTGACATCTCTTCCTGTAGCTACAGCACAACAGCCTACTGTATAAAAGCTAGATTACATCACTGCCCGTGGGTTCAAGCTCTCTCATTCTTGGAAAGGTCAGAGAAGCCTAGGCTTGTTATTCAGGGGGCAGGAGTCTAGATGATGAGAGGTAGGTTTGTTTGTGCAGTGAGCTGTTCTGCAGAATCTCTTGGACAGCCCAAGCAGTTTTGAAAGTACAGTAGGTATTGTCTACAAATTAAATATCAATTTCCTAAAATTGCAAAAATCGCAAAATTACATCCGGTAAATCAGATATTTTTAGGACTCACTTGGAGTTTTAAAAAGCCTCACCTAAAGCCTTTGCAACTCAGATTCAAACAGGTCTGAAAAGCATTTAAGTTTTGTCAGAATATGGAGAAACCAGGATAATATGCGATACTCCAATT